TCCTCAATAAACCTGAGAGACATAGAGACATTATGCAAGATTTTTTTTGCCTGGAATGAACTAAATCCTGGCTTTTAACCCAGCATCAAATTCACAAGCTGATATGATCAGCTTCACTGTTCTGCTGACTAATAATTTTAAGGTGTTGATCAATTACAATAAAATTTGATGGAGGCTCAGCCAATTTATGTTTCTTTAAAATGCAAGAAAATCCACAGCCAGGAAGCTGAAAAATACAGAACTTGTGCCCACAGAAAGAAACAGATAGGAACAATTTAATATTTACTAAGGCAAGTAAGAAATTCCTGTGTGAGAGGCAAGAAATCCTGTGTGAGCATCCAGTTATACCCCATCAGTATGAGAAAAGCTCAAATCAAAGCCAGTCCTGCCTTTGCCTTGTCCAATATATAAGGAACATGGGGGGAAGCAAACATCTTGTGGAGGAGAAGTCCACAAAAGCCAGCAGAGCAGCTGGAATTTTTGCAGTGACAGATTATCAGTGACACAGGACACAAATCCAAAGTAAGTTGTTCCTCTGTAGCACAGTTTATCTGAGACATTATTATAATTATTCCACAATGAAGGCAATATCAGTAAATGATTCCTTATCATGAGTTTCCATCAGTTGTTCAAAGCTTTTGAGTTTACTATAATGTCATATATAAAAGCCATGTCCTCATATGAAAGTCTTACAGCACTGCAACTGAAAAATTATTATTCATTTTCTGCATATTTTAAATGTAGTTTCTATACCTATAATGAACTGGCTTATTTAAAACACACTGTAGCATCCATATCAATAGAAACCTGATATAAATCAGGTTTGCATTTTGCAGATGGATTGGCTCAGGTTCTACACAACAGATTCATAGTTCAAGAAGTCAGTGACTTATGAGTGAGGAACTTCTTGTACTGTGAGCAGAATTTAACCCAAAGTTAATGAAAATCTTACTAAAAGTATTTTTCTGATTTTATAAAGCAAGCTAAAATCCTAGAAAAATGTAGATAATCAGGACTTAATAAAAAGATCACCCCTAGGTCTCCCTTCAGACATGTTCTATGCAGGACTGCAAACCCAGTTTTGGCATTGCTAACGTCTCAGGGTGGGCTCACAGCATGTCACCAGGCTGCCTCCTCACTACCTACCAGGCATCTTCTGAACTAAAGAGTCACTTGAACTGAGCTGTAGTAAGAGACCAAAATGCTTTTTTGCTCACAGCTGTCCACAGATGTGCCAAAGGCTATTAGCAATTCAAGCTGCAGACTCACACCTCAGAGCTGCTCATTCTGCTCTTCTGCCTTGCCCTTGGTTTCCATGAAGTGACCATGCAGGATTTCCTGCCTTTACAGCCTCTTGGCTCAATGCCCTGGCTTTGAATTGATCTCTGGCTCTTACTTCAAATGCTGCTGCCACTGCTAGATCAAACTCAGAGAAAGCACAGCAAAGTAATTTGTGTTACAGTCAAGTAAAAACATGAATTGCCACATCATGTTCTTGGTATGCACAGCATGGTTTGAAACCCAGATCAGATGGCACAAGATCACCCCATTCTAGCCCTGCATTTGCCTTCTGCAACATACAGCTGTGACTTTCATGCAGCCTGGCAGTTTCCTTTGCCTCAGCTCCCTCTTAAATTAGGCAGAAATATTCCAGTGATGGATGTCTGAAGGTTTCTTACAACCACATTGTGGTAAAAAATAGATAAGGGAAAGAGAATTTCCTGTTCCTTAGAATTTACGTAAACCATTAATAATTAATAAATCAGTTTTCACAAAAATTCTTTCAACTTAGAATGA